AAAAGGACTGGAACATCACGATTTAGCTTGCCACGAATGGTAAAACGTATGTACTCTAAAGCAGATTCTCTTTCTTTGTTTGGTAATTTCTTATATAATTCATCTTCTTTTGTAATTTTCATGAAATTTTTATAATCAGAAATATACGCTCTTTCTATTTCTCCTGCACGGCGCCGATTAAAAATTTGAATTATTATCAATAATGCTTCAGCGAGTGATTTCCAAACACAAAACGTGAATTTAGTTTTTAGTTCTTGCATCTTAAACATTCTTACTTTCTCTAAATAGTTAGTTAGCTTTTTGATATCTGATGTCTTTGGAAGATTTACTACTTTTNTTCGATTGTTTGCAGTTTGCGCTTCTGTAACTGTTTTGTTAACAGTATTACCATATTCAACTTCTAAAATTTTCAAAAAATTTTTAGCTAATTTTTGTTTTTCATACTCATGTTGTTTAATAAATTCGGTGATTAAGATCTTACATAATTTTTTTAGACATGTGCCTAGAGTTGTAGCATTATATGGTATTTCATAAGCTTGCGTATCTTCATTATATTTGGCAACTATATTTACTGCTTTTATGGCGATATCATAATATTTTGGATCAAACAACATTTGTAATTCTTTCATTTTTGGTTCAATTGATCTCAATGCTTTTAAATATCGTCCAAGTAGTCGTAATTGTTGCCGTATATGATCTCCTAAATGCTGTAATCTATACATTTGACAGAGGTAATTTCCATATATTATAATAAGGAAGTCATATCTTATTAAATTATAAATATCGTCTCTTCGCATTACTGGCAGAATGTCTCTCCTTAATTTAAAGCTTGCTCGATTATGAACAGATTGTGCAGCGCTTTGTCCTAATTTTAATACATTTCGAACTGTATCTTTCTTCTTAGCGCAAATGCGATAATGGTGTCTGAGATTATGTATTGCATAATGTCCTCCACAATTGAAACACGGTAAGAAATACGAACCATTTTGTTTCTCTGTTTTAGTAGGCCTTCTTACCACGATCATAGAACCACTATTTAAATCTGCTTGTGTATTATATTTAAAGTTACCCTTTTTTCTTATTCGACTTATTTCTTCTCTGCGTTCCGCAGATTTCTTTGGAAGCGATACAAATTTTTTTACTTCTTCTTCATTTTTGTGTTTTAACTCTAGGTGCCGAGCAATTTTAGTTTGCATAGTATTGCAATAAAAGCAAAAATTTGATTTATTATCTCCTTTTGGCCCTCGAGACAATTCTACAAATAATTCATCATCTCTGCATGGTCTTGTTTCTTCTCTTAACATAGTGCCTTTATTTGTGATTACAGTTTCTAACCACTTCTCTGATATGTTAGATTCATTTGCAACTTCTAAGTCATCAATTTTACAATTTGTTCCGCTTTCACTACTAATATACGTATCATTTGAACTATGACTATGAATAGATGGTTCATAATTCGGATCTTCAATATGATTTTTTGTATTAATTGATATTTCATTTTCTTNAAAATCTGAAATAAATATTTATTTTCAAATAGTTATTAAAACTATCTATTAAAAAATATATATATAGATGTTAAAATATTTCAAACTAACAACGCGAAATTAATGGTCAATAGGAACCTTATGCTTGTTTATTGCGGATACGGATGTTTATTACGGAATAAATAAATATATTTATATATTGTGTATATTATATATTTATATATATTTATACATATTTATTCCGCAATAAATATCTAGCGTAAGGCTCCTATTGACCGTTAATTTCGCGTTGTTAATTTGAAACTTCAGAGCCTAAACTCATCATTAAGTTTTAAAACATTTTATTCTATTTNTTATGTAATTATGTAATTAGAAATTTTAAGTAAAAGAGATAATTAAGTAATTACTTAACTATTAACTAAATTGTTAAGTAACTTTATCCATTGATAAATTTTATTTAGTAACAAATTGATAAATTACTAACAAATAAATATTAATTTTAAGAAATAACACAATAAAAATTAAATTATATTAAATTATATTAAATATATTTAAAAAATTATACTAAGTATATATATATATTAATAAATTTTTGTTAGCTTAATTCAAAAGAATTAGTAACTGATGTGAAAACTGTTAATTTCCGTAACAACAAAGAAAGATATTAACTAATAAGTTTTAATTTACATTTATTAGTAATTTACATTATATTACAATAGTATAATCGGAATTTATCTTTGCATCTTTATGGAAGTTTTAATTAGTAAGAAGTATTTCACACACATAAACTTATTAACATATATCTAACAAAATAACAAAATAATACATAAGATATATATATATAAGTGTGCGCACTTAGTACATTACATTAATATCATACATTGTTCTTTNTCAATGTAAAAGTGAAATGTCTCGAATGATAAAACACTCAATAAATATTTTGCCAAATAACAGTATAATAAAGTACTATTAAGAGAATTTCTCTGTTTAACCCATTTCTATATAATCTATTTCTATATATTTAAGAATTTCACTGTTTACCTCATTTCTATATAATCTATTTCTATATATTTATATTAAACACTATCTTTATGTCGATTTGTGTTTAACAGTCTTAATGTGTACTGAGTGCACACTAAAGTGCGTCCAACCAAATTCGCTATAAGTTTAATATTGATTTATTAACTTTTGTAAATCTTTATGTAATTCTTTGAGTAGACGTACAATAATTTTTGTCTCAGTAAAATTAGTACTGAGAATATAATTTAATTTAAAAGAAGAAATGAATAAGAATGTAATAAATGTATATACCTGTATTTTGCAAGACATGTGCAACTTNGTGATTGTTGCAATATAATTCACTATTGTTGTTCACTATAGAAGATTTAACTTCATTTAAGTCACTAAAGTCTGTTAAAGTCGTATCCAGTTCAGTATCTCCATAGAAAAATGTAGAAATGAATTTATTTTTAGCTGATATTTTGTCATTCATTGATGTACTATTACTTATTGTATCTGTTATATTTATATTAGAAATATTTATATTAGAGTGCTCCGAAGACTTCTGCAAAATAGATGTATTAAACGAATCATCTGCTGTTGAGTTCACACTTTTCTGTAAGACAGTCATATTTATTTGGCACTCTGTGTTTTCTATAATTCGAGGATAGGTTGTAGAAGATTCAGCTTGTAATACAGTATCTAATATAGTTTCTAATTCAATATCTACTACAGAACTGTTCAAAGTTTCATTAGTTCTGACATTAGTCTGTTTATCATTGTAGTAAAAATCAGATTTTGTATCCAAATCTAAATATGAGTTTACTATATTATTTGGATCTGTATGTTGATTAGAGACTTGATTTATAATTTCTGTACTTAAAACAAATGTATTATCATTTATTATATTATTCTGCTTCGAACCTGAAAATAATTTAAAAACTTTGTTATATATTTTAAAAACTTTTGTTAAAAACTTTTTTAAAGTAATTTTATTACATATATTACATTTTTTAACTAAACAATGTTTGAAAATGTACGTACTTAATAAATCATAATTCTTTTTTGATTCTTTAGCATTAGTGTCACTATTACATTGTATTTTTTCATCAACTGTCTTAGAAAAATTATATTCTTTCTTGCAATTCTCAGTTGATAATTTGGCCATGCGCTTACACTTTTTGCTTAATACATCTTCCGATAAATAATTATATGTTCTTTCTTTTATTTCTACAAAATGTATTTTGTATCATATTAATTTCTGGTAATAATTTATATAATATTTTTTATTGCTTATGTAATTTATTTGCTACAATAACTAACATAATAATTATACACATATATGTAATATTAGGTATAATAATTATTATATGTATATATAAAAGATATAAAAGCTATAATGATTTACATACTTGTACTTTATCTTGATTTAGATTTAAAGTAAGTCAACATTAATTTTTATGTATGTAATCAATAATCAACGTATGATAATATTATATCAATTTGATTATTGGTGATATTTTTATCATTACTAATACTTTTGATATTCTGAGTTTTAATAATTAACAATATTGTCATTGTGTATAATTATAATAATTATATTTAAAAAATTAAATTTTTTAATATTCTTACCTTTAGTTGTACTCTTTGAACATTGAGATCTTAATATTTTGGCATTGTGCTTTAACACAGATCTTGTCAAGTGAGGATTTCTGTTTTCATCATTTTCTTCATCTAAAAATAAGAATTAATCAAATAATCCGTGGTATCCATAGAGTGACACAAAACAACACAGTCGACCATAGCATTTTAATAGTGTACAATTGTGTTGACTTATGTCGTAATTAAAAAGCACTGGATCATACTTTGTATTACACAGTGTCACTTTTGTACATTGCTAGAAAGCATTTGAACTTTCTCTTTAATAATATATATATTTAATAAATATTTACTATATCACTTACCTAATTGATCACATATTGATTTTTTAATATTAGTATCAAGATTACTTTTTATTACTGACTCAGTTATCTTTAAACATGGATCGGACATGACTTTATTTTTATTGCACGTTTCATTATTTGCACACTGGATATTTGACGATTTGTTAACCTTCTCTATTACAATCTTTGGTGAATTAGTATCTATGTTCTTTTTTATTTCTAAAAGAGTTTGTCTTTCATCTGTAAATAATAAAAATTAATTTATTATACTTGTTTTATAACTAGTTTGAAGCGATTGTAACTTGTGTTAGTTTTACTTATATTTACTGTAAATATATTTCTTCATGTCTAAGACTTGAAATAATACTTTACTTACCTGATTTACAAAGGAATATTCCAACGCATCGTTTTCCATTTTCCAGGTTTATCCAATAATGATTTTTCTTCTTTTTTCTTATATTACTCGATTTTACAACAAGTAATTGTTGAGTATATTTAATTTTAAATAAGGAAAACATAATTTGTTAAAGCTAAAATTGTGGAAAACGATGTACAGTATTTCAAACCTGTGTGTACTGATTACCACGTAGTTTAAGATTCCTGAAGTACGGTTATGTTATAGCACATATCGTGTTTAATAAGGGCATCGCACACAAAATGACAGAGTGCATATGCATAGCATAAGACTATTTAGACCAATAAGCATCTAGCGTAGTTTTATGTAAATCAATATGGTGACTTTATGTTAGACGCTCATTGGTCCATATAGTTTTATGCTACGCATACGCAGCTATGTCATTTTGTGTATGATAGCTCTACTGTATTCTACAATGGATAAGTTTTACTTGCCGTTTGCAACGCTCGTGAGCGTTATTTATCTTTACGTAATTTTCGATTAAAAATAAGGATGAAATGATTCCATGAGCGTACTTGCGAACGGCAAGTGGAACCTTGCCCAATAACTGCGTTCTGTTATTGGTTACGTTCAGAAATTAAAGGCCTCTGCACAAACTCTTTTGTAATGCGTTACGTTACGTTAAGTACTGGCCATAAACTTATATTCGTACGTAAACTTGAATTTTATTCAACGCACAAATAAAAGTAAAGTAACTTAATGTAGCATAAACGTGGTACGTTAAATTTCTTTTAAGATAATTCGCCATATCGTTATTCTTTTACCGAAATAATATTTGGAAAGTAATTTTGCAAACAACTACAAATATTTTATAAAAGATCAATGTTTTCACATCTATTTCACATTATAATTTTAATGCAAGATTTCGTCACATAATTTTATAAACGTTTTCCTATCAGGGTAGTAAGTCAGTATTATACATTTAAATACGTGCTGCTTTTTATCTGGCTTGTACGTGAAATTCTCCAAATAATACCTAAAACATATCGTTGCGCTAAAGACATATATTCCTATTATGTAGAAATTCCGTTTTCTATAATATCTATGATGCTGATAATAATAGATGGTGAACTACATATAGTTAGCAAAGGACGAAAGCTTTTGATCGCTTTTCGATATGTTTGTATGTACTGTAAGTGCATTAAATTCTTGAAAAAAGTGAAAATATCATTTTGTTGCGTAACGTTCGTTTCCAGGACGTTTGTGTTCTGGAAACAAACAATAGACCACAAAAAGATATTTTTCTTTTCTGACTACATTGTGATACTAAGCACTTGAATAATTACGGCGCTCTGAAATACTTTCAGAGTAAGTCATACATTTAAATACGTGCTGATTTTTTATTTGGCTGTTACGTGAAATTCTCCAAATAGTACCTAAAACATATCGTTGCGCTAAAGATATACATTTGTATTATGTAGAAATTTCATTTTCTACAACATTTATGCTGCTGATAAATAATGGTAAATGTTGAACTACACATATTTTTAGCAAAGGACGGAAGCTGATATAGCTTGATCGCTTTTCCATATGTTTGTATGTACTATGAGTGCATTAAATTCTTGAAAAAAGTGAAAATATCATTTTGTTGCGTAACGTTCGTTTCCAGGACGTTTGTGTCCTGGGAACAATAGACCACAAAAAGACATTTTTTCTTCCTGAATATATTGTAATAATAAGTATTTGAATGATTAACGCTCTTCGAAATACATTCATAGTAAGTCATTATCATACATTTTGAAATATATGTTGAATTTTTGTCTGGCTGTTACGTGAAATTCTCCAAAAAGCACCTAAAACATCGTTGCGCTAAAGATATACATTTCTGTTATGTAGAAATTCCGTTTTCGACACCATTTATGATGCTGATAATGGTAAGTGTTAAACTACACATATTTAGCAAAAAACGGAAGCTGATGCAGCTTGATCGCTTTTCCAAATGTTTGTATGTATAGTAAATGCGTTAAATTCCTGCAAGACATTCAAAGATCATTTTGTGGCCTAACGTTTGTATCCAGGACATCAGCATATTTTGTATACATTGTAATATTAAGTATTTGAATGACCATTTTGCCTCAAAATTAAATCAAATTAAATTACATTCAAGTAACAAAATGATCATAAAAGAGGATCCTTCACTTTTATATTTGAGAACAATTTTATATATTGAGAAAATTCTATATAATTGATGCTTTCGCGGTGTGTTGAATTAACATTCAAAGATGTTTTTTGAGTTTGCAAAACGTTAGTGTCATTATTATACCGATATTTCGTGAACATTTCAGCTCACTTTATTGGGATTTCAAGAGCCCCTTGATATATATAATATCAGGTTGCTCTATATACTGTATTGACCTGGAAACAACTATTATAAAAACATTTTCTAGGACAGTCCTGGAAAGCAACATTGTCCTGGAAACTGCCATTATTCAGATGGCTTGGAAAACTTTAAATATGTAATATTTTAAAAACCAGTAATAATTTTTAATTATTTCTTAGTGGAATGTGTTTATATTATTATTAAGTAGTAAATTGCGTATAAAAAAATCAAAAGTTTTAAGTGTCCTGGGACATTCCCTTTGACAAAGATATATATATATATATATATATA